GGGAAGATAAACCACATCTCCCCAAAGGACTACAGACCCATCAGTCTGTCGTCATTTTTGCTTAAAACGATGGAGCGACTGATGGATCTATATATAAGAACCAAGCTAGACAAACAAGTGTTCAGTGGAGCTCAGCACGCCTACCTCAAAGGTAGATCAGTTGAGACCGCACTACACGAAGTTGTTGGGCATATCAAAGGAGTCTAAGCTATAAGGAATATGCCTTGGCGGCCTTTCTAGATATAGAAGGGGCCTTCAACAACGTCAGGATCGAGTCAATAACGGCCGCACTGGCCAAGATTGGCACACACCCGATGGTAACCGGATGGCTAGACAGTGTTCTCAGAAGCAGAACGATAAGCGCCAATCTAGGCTCCTCCTCGTCAAGAAAGACGGTCACACGAGGTACTCCGCAAGGGGGAGTTATATCCCCTCTACTGTGGAACCTGGTCCTCAACGACCTCCTTCTTCAGCTGGGGAGGAGCGGATATAAGGTTACGGCCTATGCAGACGATTTAGTAATACTGGTAACGGGTAAATTTCTGCCCACAATCAGTGACCTTCTGGAATCTGCACTGGCCACTACCGCCAGCTGGGCACACCAGAACGGTTTGGGGGTCAATCCTCAAAAAACAGAACTGGTGCTGTTCTCACGAAGATATAAGATACCGAGTTTCAAACTACCAGCAATCGGTGGAACGACACTCGAGCTATCGAGCGAAGCCAAGTATCTTGGTGTCATCCTTGACTCCAAACTCTCCTGGAAGAGAAACACGGAGGAAAGGAAGAAAAAGGCAATGGCAGCTTTCTACACCTGTAGGAAGACTTTTGGACGAACATGGGGCTTACAGCCGCACATCATCCAATGGATGTATACAGCGGTAATAAGACCCATCCTGACATACGGAGGCATGGTATGGTGGGAAGCGGTTAACACCAAATCCCACCTGGAGAACCTCCGTAAAGTCCAACGGACAGCATGCCTTGGGGTCACCGGATCTCTCAAATCCACCCCACAGGCAGCTCTGGACACCATGTTAGGCCTGGAACCGATAGACCTTCATCTTAAGTGCAAGGCTGAGACAAGTGCCGCTAGGCTATTAGCCGCGCAGTTCTTCAAGCCATCGCCTTATGGCCACGCCACTATACTCCGTATGGAAGATAGTGGAACGGCCAGGTGGAGTGACTACTGTGTCTCAGAGTTCTCATGGAAAAGAAACTTTAAAGGACACATACCGGATAGGGAGGAATGGAAGAGTAACACTGTCCTGGGGCAGAACGAGCTCTCCATTTTCACCGACGGGTCAAAGACGGCCGAAGGGACAGGAGCTGGAATCTTCTCCGAAGAACTAGCAACCAACATATCCCTAAGACTACCAGACTGGTGCAGTGTATTCCAGGCGGAGATATATGCAGTATGGCAAGCGGCAAAGTTGGTATACACCTTGGAGATACCTCCGAGGAACATAGCAATCTGCGTTGACAGTCAAGCTGCCATCAAAGCCCTGGTATCCTGCAAGACCACAAGCAGACTCGTACGTGATACGGTGGACGCACTAAACCAGATCAGCGCGCACTCAATCACACTCACGTGGGTTCCGGGTCACACCGACATAGCGGGCAACGAGAGTGCGGACGAGTGTGCCAGAAATGGATCGGCCAAGCCAATGGCGGACGCAGTCAGCGACATAAGGAGACCACTACGAGACATCATCTCGCAGATGATGGGCCGAGCCAGAACGAGATCGGACAGGAGGTGGAACACCACACCAAACTGTGAGATCTCTCGCTCGCTCTGGCCCCACTACGACCTTAAACGCACCAAGACTCTCCTAAGCTTCAGGAAGAGTCGGGTGCGAACACTGACGGGAGTTATAACGGGGCACTGTGTCATCGGCCGCATGGCCACAAGGTACAGACTGCCCCACCATGACTTCTGCCGCAGCTGCGGGGACGAGGAGGAAATAGAGAGCATCCAGCACCTTCTCTGCAACTGTCCTGCACTCATGGGGAGACGTCACCGAATACTCGGTGGCGCCTTCTACGAAGATCTGGACAGCCTGGCAAACATGCCTCTAGAGAAACTGGTGCTCTTTATAGAGGCCTCGGGATGGTTCGCGAAACCTCCCTAGGCACCGGACAATATCCCGTGACGAGTGTGGGCATCACAATGGGCAGACTTGCCTCCGAGTGACCTCGACTTCAGTCGAGCAGCCCTATAAACCTAACCTAACCTAAAAATGAATTATGCACTTATTAACTTGTAAATAATTGTATGTGTATTATTAATTTCCGATTAAATTTTTATGGTATACTTACGTTTATATTCCTTTTGTGTGGCGATAAAATGCTTGTTATTTGTGTGTGGTGTGGGTTGTTTTCTTCGCTGTATGTTTTTCCGTAATTAGTTGGTTCCGTTTTACCTATCATGGAATATTGACATTAGTTTCATATATTAAAATAAGGAGCAGATCAATAAAATTGGTGGTCGTTTTTTTTTTTTGGTTCGAATCATTAAGTTTTTGTTTTGCCTATTTTCATATATTATTCTTTTCTTTCAGCGCTGTTTATCTTTATGTGCTTGTATGTGTAGTTGTGTGAGACATGCTGCAAATGAGCCGAACCAACCGCAGTCGCAACCGTATCCAGCGTGTCTGATCGAGCGGTATGGTGTTCGACGACGAATATGGCTGCCGCGATCGACTAAAGCGGGCCATCCACTATAGAATTTGTTGGAAAACATGTTGTCTATTATGAATTTCATTTGCCCACCAACGAGTGCGAACATTTCTCGCAAACATCATTTTGTTTACATTTGTCAACGAGTCAACATGTCAGCGGACACCGAGACAGTAATTGCCTTAATGGCAATATAAATAAATAAACTTATAATAAATCTAAATCTAATTTATAATAATCTATAAATTCTGCAAAAATTGTTTTTACATTTTAAATGAAGTTGTTCACTCAAGCAAAAATGTTTACAAATGATGTTTGTGCCAAAGTTGCCATCCATGGACGAACATGTTGGCACGAACACAACGAAGATAGAATAATTTCTATTCTCTTCGAACACAACATCGAACTCGAAATTACGACCCGAACACTACCACCAACGATTCGAACCCAACATGCTTGCCGAACAAATTCTATCGTGGATGGCCCGCTTAAGCGTTCGAACGAGCTGGTTCGTCGCTTCTGTCGATCGCTTGGCCTGGAACCCCGCTCGAACCGTTGGTTGCATGGTTCGCCCTATGTAACATAATTCACTGGCGTTTATTCAAATATGTACATACATATGTATGTAAAACGTACAATGTACTGTAAATACATATACATATATTTTTTTTACTATCGATTTAATTTAAGATCACTAAACTAATTGGTCCTTTGTACATATTCTCTCACTACCATTTTTTATGTTTTCCGTTTAATACATTCACACACTCATACATTCGCTTAACACGAACTCGGTCTTACACGGTTTTAAATTTGCTCCTTTGCCCCTTTTAACACGCTGAAAACCTCGTTCCTGCACGATTGCAAAATCCTTAAAAGCCACTCAACTATGGGAAATGACTGATATGGATTTTAAATTAGATATGGAATCCATACTTCGCTTTACACGATTTCGCTCAACACGAGGTTTTCTAGGAACTTAGAGTAGTATCTTTTACTAATAATCGCTTAGCTTGATCTGTCCTTCGCACTGAGTTAATTGTTATTGCTGTTTGCACTGAACCATGCGGTCAATCGCACATACTTACATACCTTTCTGTCATTTGCAGATTTTGAACTTTTTCTTCTTGTTTTTTGGCACCAATTTTAACTGAATTTAATTGCTGTTAATTCGCTCTGCACTCTGCTGATCATTTTATTGTTTTGTATTTCATTTATAGGATTAGATTTTTCACTTTGTTGGTTCTTATTTTTTGTATTAATTTGACACAAGCTCCAACTCCACACATTGGAGTTCTGTTGAAGAGTGATTTTATTCTTCATAACGAAATATTCTTGAGCCCTGCCTTTTGCTCGACGCTCGGTTGTTCGGGAATGCTGAGTCTGCATTTATGGTCTTTGCATTCCTTGGGTTTCGGGTTCCTAACGGGCAGGACAGAAACACGACGCAACATACATATGTATGTATAATATACATTGTATATGATCCATTACTGTGTCCACATCAAATTATGAAACTTTAATACAAAAAATATGCACAGAAGAATTTTAAAAAAAATACGAAAATAAATATGTATGCTCTTTCCATTATTTTTCCCATGGAACTTCAAAAATAGATACATATGTGTGCGAGTGAAACGTTTTCAACGTAAAATTTGAATTTGAATTTTTTGGTTTATTCAGCAAAAGGAGATTGATGAAATATTTGTCATCCTAGCTCCAATGTTTGCAATGACCGATCTAATGAATTTTTTTTGTATATTTAGTATGTATGCAAAAATAGTCTCCCAATTTTAAAGCTGTCTCAACGAATTTAGCAAGCTATTGTATTCCTGCAGATACCAAGAATATGAATCGGGTTCGAGACATATATATATATATATGGGAATCTTGCTACATATGTGCATGAATAGTTAGTTGTAAAACAGAATTTTAACATTAATTAAAGAAGATTGGGTATACAAAATGTATAAACTCCATAAACATATTGTCGATATGTGTAGTTACCGTGTAGTTACAATGTGAAAAAGGAAATTTTTGTTGACCTTCTTTGCTTAAGCCTTATTTTAGTAATAATGCAGTAAAAACAAATTATTAATATGAGCCAATCTTGTAGAAAATTGATTCATTAGACGGATAAAATTATATTTTTAGTGGTGAAAGTCCTAACTAGCTTGTAATATTAAATCGAATATCAAAATTGAGGAATATGATTTTTCTCGGTATATTTACGATATATTGGTAATCTGAGAGGGCATATGTATTTCGGTATATTTCTGTGGGTCAGACGGGTGTATTTTATAGATAGATCCGCGGTCACACTGTTCTCCAGCTGTTTTTTTTTGCCGCCACTATTTACTTTATTCTATTTATTATTTAGCAATTCCAATTCACTGAGTATGTCACTGTTTCCCGCTTATGGCGGAGCCAAGCCACCTCCAGCCGTCAAAGAAACAAAGACTGAAGAAACCACACAGGCGGCGGCTGCATTCTCAGACGGATACAAAGCCACAGCGGAGGGCTGGAAAACCAACATAAGTTTCGATCTGGGCAATCAGACGATAGCTGCCGAAAAAACTGCATCGCACAGCCCACCGCCAGATACCTCCAGCGAGGATGAGGACACCTCGAGAGAGGTCAGCCCAAAGCCTCCGGAACAGAGAGAAACAATTCCCTTACGCCGACTGGAGTTCGATGCCAGCGACGGCTTCTACGTGGACAAGCGGAACAATCCCAGCTACCTGACGATCAAGAGCCTGGCTCGCCCCTCCCGACCCCGCTACAAACCAAAGCTTGGACGGCTCAGGGATGGCAGTCAGAACTTTAACGGGTTTGTGCATCATCGGAAGGTGGATTGGAAGAGCTGCCGCTATGGCAAAAATGTCGCGAGAGAGAGCAAAGTGACGCCGGAGGAGATTGACGATTTGCGGACGGAGCTCAATGAGTGCAGGGTGCTGGTAGCCAGGGAACCGCAGCAATTGGAGCACTGGATACGGCAACACAAGCTCCTGGGCCGTAATCCGGATAGGGCCAATCGTCTGGCTGTCTCCGAGCAGCAGCTGCACTCGCTGAAACTGGCCCTCGAGCAGCATCCCTCCAACGAGGAGGTTCTCCAGCTGTACATCGAGACGGCCTCTGCCACCTATCCGGCCAGTCAGGTGAGCAGCGTCTTGGCAATCAGCTGTAGACTAATTGTAATTCTTTTATTTTAGGTCGCTCTGTTAATCGAGCAATTGCTTCAACGGAATCCCTTCGAGTACACACTGTGGACGGCCCTGATCATGGCCACCCAGGGTACCATGGCCAGATGCAATGCGAATGATGTGATGCGCATCTACGAAAACAGCATGCGACGCATGCACCTTGGCCACACGGACACCACCAATAAGTTTGACACTCTCGACACAGACCCCATAATGCTCAAATTGTTCCACAACTGTGCACTCTTCCTGCGCCAGATGGGCCACAGCAACCGGATGTTCGCCATGCTCAAGATGGCCCTGGAAATGAATGTGATGGGGCTGGAGGTGGACTGCCTGGTGGCGGAGGCAGGACGCGAGAATACACTCATTGAATTCGAGGAGGTGGTACTGGAGTCTGGCATGCCGCTCCCGGAGATATGGACGCGCGTAGAGCTGCTCCGTCAGGCGTACTGCTATCTGCCCTACCCTGCCCTGGGTAGTAGCTCCGGCACAGATGACGGGATCGATACGGAGCGGCTGGTGTTCAGCGCGGACGTCTGCTCGTATGTCTACCCGCTAAAGTCGCAATGCAATCGCCTGCATCTATATTTGCTGATCGTGCAGGTGACCAAGATTCCCGTCGTGCGCAGCCACTGTCTTGCGGATCGCCTGTGCACGCGCATCAAACAGATTGGCGAGTCGGAAGCGGTCGAGATGATGCTGGCCGTGCTGGCAGATCGTCATACGTACATCTCTTCCGCCAAGTACGCCGGTAACTTCTCGGTGGCCTTGCTCAACCTGGCTCGCGAAATGAGTGTGACGCCCAGCTTTATGCCGCATTTCTTGGGCAGCGACCTCTACGAGGATACCGTCTCCGGCCTGCTTCTCAAGTGCAGCGAGGCCTTTGCCCACGAAGAGAACTCACGCAGGATTTTCATTCTGCTGTGGTTTCGCTTTAAGCGGCTCCTCCTGGTCATTCGCAAGCTCATGCAAAAGCTAACCGAAGAGTACCTGAAGGAGGCCCGCCACCGCATCCGACAGCTGCTGCGCCAGGAGGAGAATCGTGAGGTCGCCCGTTTCTTCACGGAGCTGGCCATGTTCGAGTTCGAGGCTCTGGAGTGGGACAGCGATCCGGCGCCAGCGTTTAACGTGTTCCGGCACGTAGTCGACTGGCAGAGGAGCTCCGAAGAGAGCCTCGTCAATCCAGATCTCATGCACGTCTACGTTACCTACGCCGAGATGCTGATCTCGCGCAATCATGGGAGGGATGCCCTGGAAATGCTCGTGTGCGTATGCCTGCAAAAGCATGCACCTCTCAACCCGGAAGAGACCGCCGATAAATCCGCAGCCCTTCAGAACAGCATGAAGGTAATCCAGACGGAGCTTGAACTACTCACCTCCGCGGCCCCGACAATGGCTCTGGAGGAGTTCTTTACGTCCAACAAGCTGCTGCTCGGGCTGCGCTGCCACTGCCTAACCCTTTGCCTGTTGAGCCGTGCCGACGAAGCCGATCAGCTGCTTCACGCTCTTCTAAAGGACCACTTGAGCCGAGACAAAGGCCAGACCAGCGAGCGAATTCGGTTCCTGCGCGAGCAGCTGCTGGAGTTGCACATGGTAATCCTGCAGGTGCCAAACTCTGTGGTAGCCAAAGACTTGTCGGAGCCAAGTAAGCCAACTGTAAGAAGCAGCAGGCAACTGGTGCAGCTGCTGGAGCAAGGACTGGAAGAGTTCCCGCGCAATATGGCCCTGCTCGGACGCTGGGCCACCTTTGACAAGCTGCCCTGGTACAAGCAGCGGGCCCGCTTCATCCGCACCAAGGGCGGCATTTTGTCCGTTCTCCATCTGGTGTTAGCTGCACGCTGCCGCTACGTCCTTAGCTTGGAGCAATCTGGAGGACTGGAGGCTGCTGTGGGTCAGCAGGCGCCTCACCTTCATGTCGCCGTCCAGTTAGCGGCACGGAATCGGGTGATACACGTGTTCGAGACATTTCTACCTACGAATGTGAATCGATCGGAGATCGAAGCCGAGCAGTACCAGATACTCAGGCGGAACTCACTTTACTGGCGCTGCTACCTCCGCTGTCTATCCGACAAGTACACCAGCTTTGATCGGAGCAAAGAGGTCCTCCTGACCGCCCTGGACGAGTGCCCCTGGGACAAGGCCCTCTACATGGATGGGGCCATGTACGTTCCGCAGGAGCTGGGACACCTGCAGGACGTAATGATAGAGAAGCAGCTGCGCATCTACGCCATGATTGAGGAGCTGGACATTCTCAGAGACTCCTAGCATCAATATTTTCGACGATTATTGTGCTTTCAGTGTCCCTAGCGTACGTACATCTGTAATTTGTATCCCCTTTTCAGGAACAATGTAGTACCCACAATTTGTTTTATTTGTGAATAAGAAATTGCTTGATATGATAGCACCACGTAAATAAATAAACGACAGAAACGTAAATTAGTTAAGAACTGGCTAGTATTTTAATTTGATAACTAAAGTCTAATCTTACAGCCAGCCAAAGCTAATAGTCGGAGGGTTTGTCAAACAATTTTAGCTGAACCGTTTTATTGAACAATATCTTGAGCGACACCTAATTAATGCACCTACATATATACGTATATAAAAAATGTAAGGACACAGGATATAATTTTTTTTTCAACTTTTCCTAAGTTTTTAAAGTCAAAATTTTACACAAAATACCGCACAAAAACCATCAATTTTGCATTTGAAAGCTTAATATTTTCCAGGCGGAGCATTCTCTGGGAGATTTCCTCAGACGCTATGTGAGTGTATGGCAAGAACTGTCGCAATGGACAGACAAACGAGGGCTAGGTGGTACCCGTCTAAAACGTACCTAGTATACCCATAGAAAAAAAAACTGAAATTTTTCACATACATTTTGATATTACTATGAAAATATTTAAGTTGAATATTTAAGTTAAGATGTTTCATATATAAATTTAATATTTTTCATATTTGAATTTAATATGTTTTATATTAAATTTAAAAATATTGTATATTTAAATTTAATATGATTCATATTCAAATTGAATATATTTAATTTTAACACTAATTAGTTATTATTTTGCCTAAGCGGACTACATTTCATGTCCTCATGGTGTGAATTGGTTAAAGTTTTCAACTAGAAATACACTAGTCAACACGACATTTAGGCTGTGGCCCAAAATGACTTTTTCTTATAGATGGTGGGGGCTACATTTTTTTAGCGAATTATGGTTTTTTTTATGGTTTAGTTTTTATTTTAAGAATTTTTTAAAATCTGCTATTTTTTAATGTTTTTTTTTCAGAGGTAGTGCTACTATTTTTTTTCACATAACTTAAGTATCTTATATTTGGAAGCATAGAACTTTGCAGTTTTGAAAAGCTGAAAAATGCAGCTATAAATCCGACCCAGACACTTTGTATCTGCAGCTTAACGCCTGGAAGATATTAAGCTTTAAAATTCAAATTCATAATTTTTGGCTGTATTTTTTTTTTTTATTTCGTCTTTAAAAACTCAGGAAAAATCGAAACTTTGTAAGTGACTGGGTAGGATTTATAGCTGCATTTGTCAGCTTATCAGAAATGTAAAATTCTATGCAACCAGATTATATCTAGATATAAGATTATATACTTAAGTTATGTGAAAATAAAAGCACTACCTCTGAAAAAAAAAACATTAAGAATATACAAAATTTTAAAAAAATTCTTAAAAAAAAACTAAACCATAAAAAAAACACCATAATTCGCTAACAAATTTTAAACCCCAAAATCTATAAGAAAAAGTCATTTTGGGTCACAGCCTTAATGTCGTGTTGACTAGTGTAATGGGGCAAAAAAGTTTATCTTATAGAAAAAATACACAAAAAATCGGAAGGAGCTCTACTGTTCAGCATAATTATATTAAAACTTAATCATAATATGCCAAAAGCTTGAAGAATTGCACTTAAAAGGCAATTACCGAAGCTAAACGTAGATTAATAACTCGATAAACCTCCAGTTCTCAGACTTGGCTCTTACCGCAAGATTTTCAACAGTGAAGGGGGGTTATTTAAAAGCTCAAGCTTTTTCTTATATTCTAGAATATTTCACAGGTATTTTAAAGCCAAAAATGGTTGGATCGGCTTAGCTTAGCTGTTTTTTATAAAGCACCAGGCATTGCCTGGATTGCATTGTGGACGTCCTTCGTTACAGAACAAATTCCGTGAAGCTCGTCCAAAATCAGTTTTTGTGCCACAAATTATCGATGCTGTTCGCCAAATGATTAAGCAAAATCATCATGTGACATACCGGAAGGCATCTGTATGACGTCCATCAATTAGACTCTTGTCGATAGTTGTAAAAAAATTATAAAAAATTCGATCGTGGTGCTTCAAAGTCTGTGTATACTGCTACACAGGGGACCAATCATGGATATATGTATAAACATGAGGCCGAGAAATAACCATAGTCGACGGTCGTGGTGTTTTAAAGCGAACCAAATGCCACAAAAGTCTTCGTTACGAACATGTTTTAAAGAAATGCTAGCTTTTTTTTTTGAAATTGTTCAACAAGAATTGGTCATTTCGCAACAATTTTGAGAGAGAAAAGTAGAAAGATCATTTCTGATAATTTAATTTGTACGCTAAATTTCTGTGAGTTGTGAGTTTTTTTTAGAATTGGGGATAATCAACGCAAAAGATAGATGGGTGTGTTCCGTGGAAATGTCCTGCTCATATAACGTCCAACAGTCTGTTTGATGGATACAGATTTATTGCTCGTCAAACTACCTTGGGTATACAATTTTGTGCTAGGAAGTTATTTTCCTTTTAATTCGGTTTTAGTATTGTTGTTCTCGTACTTTCTCTTGGAATCACACAATGATGGAAAAAACGAGAAGGAACGTGTGAGTCGCTTCTGGGGACGCGACTCTACTACTACTTATACTCAGTCAGTATATACATTTTTGAGCATATAATTTTTTAGAATTTAAAAATTAAAAAAAAAATTTTTCTGTTATCATCTACAATCTATAGTATTGAGCTCAACAAGACGGACAGACAGACAGACGGACAGACGGACATAGCTATATCGACTCGGCTATTGATGCTGATCAAGAATATAGGAAACGTTTCCTTCTCTGCGTTGAACACATCCACTTTTACCACAAATACAATATACCCCTTAACTCTTTTTTGAGTACAGGTATAAAAACAAACTAGCATGTACTTTGGAGCTACTTTGCGACATTTGAAATATAGTTTGTGATTTATAATTCACTACGATAAAGCTGAGATGAGCATTTAGCAATCATCGTTTAGTTCGATTTAGATTTTTTTGTATTTTTGTATATTTTTTTGGTGTCACAAATCATTGAAATCGAATCTGATTTAATAAGTGACTACTGTGCGTTGCGCTGAAGCTTAACCAGCATGAAATTCAACAAGAAAAACATTCGATTAAATTGAAAATATCCATTGTACTATCATTTTGGAGATTTGCATACGTACGACTCACAAGACTCGCAGGACGTACCTTATGTATCGAATACTTCGGTTAAAAACGGCCTCAAAATATCTGAAATCCCTTCCCGCATATTTCTTCTGCTGGTACGTTTAGTTGTTAGGGTTATACCCATTAGTCGTTGGGTAGAAGGGTATATTACATATGTAAAAATGATTGAAACAATGAATGAGATGGAATTTTAAGACCAAATGTTTTCTATGTATATATGTACATACATAATATTGATCAAACCTACCGTTCGATCAGCAAAATATCAAGCTTGTGCCACTTGCCACATTCATAGCTGCAGGTGACTAGCTATTACAAGCTACTGATCTTTAGAAAACCATTGCAACTAGCAATTACTACACCTAACAAGGAGAAGAAACCTCTAAAATCCTCTCGTTGTCGCAGGGGTTTTAAGATAGTTCCGACGCATCACAAATAAATCGGATTAGCGGGTATCTTGTCGTCGAAGTCTTGGCTAAAGCGCTCTTCGACTTGTTATTATTTTGATTATGCTATCGCAAGATTACAAAATAAAACGTATCATCGAAATGTGGAGAGGGGAGAGAAAGGCAGGCACTCCTTCCTATACCCAGGCTCCAAGGGTGCAAGCGGGATGGTTCGACTGTTATCACACATTTGGAATGTTGCGTATGCGCCCTGTCCGCCGTTCTCGTTCGCTGCTTTTGGAGACTCCAACTCTAGTTTTTTGGGTGATGAGCGGTGTAGGGGGGATGCCGAAAAGCTTTACTCGAACGGAAAGCTGTCTGAGCCAGACGTCCTGACCCAGCCTTAGGGATTGCCTTGCTTGGACTTGGGTCTCAGTCAGTCGGCATCAGTCCAAGTCCAACGACGCGTCGTCGCTTTGCTTAGGCCCTGCTGCAGCGGATGGCGAGATGGCGCCTCCAGCATAGCTCGCTTTTCCATAGTTTTCTCCAGTGCAGCGCGAACAACAGTAATATCAAAGGCAGCAGCAGCAGCAGCAACGGCATAACACTCATCCGCTCATTAAAAATATGGCGTTGGGCAATTTTTCTTTTCCCATTGTCGTTGCTGTTGTTGCTGCTCTTTTCCTCGGCAAGCTTTATGTGTTTGTGTTTATAAAATCGGTTGTTGGTATGGTGTGGTGATTGTGGTGTTGGGGTTGGGGTTGGGGCTGCAGGGAGGCGTACATGGTAGAAGATTCAAGCGTCAAGTTCATAGACTAAACAGCGACAAACTGTCGGGCTGCTCTCTCGACAAAGCTTACACACAAATAAGCTCTCTCCCTCTCTCTCTGTCGCTCTTGCTCTCTGCCTCTCTGTATAGTGTAATATGCCACTCAATCTGAGCGATGTAACGGCTTCCCGGCCGGAAACCTTAGTCAAGGTCTTCTTGACGACATTCATCGTCGGAGCAGCTTTTTGAAGGCAAGTTGTTGCTTTTCACCGCTCTCTCTCTCTCTCTCACACCCTCTCCCTCTTTCGCACGACCGTTTTGAGAAAACGTTGAGCAAGCTTTTTCTTGTACGCTCTTCGCTCTCCGCTCTCCTCACTGTCGCTGGCTATGCTTTGCTCTGCTCTGCTCTGGTCTGGCCTGGTCTGGCTGATTAGTTTAGTTTGTGATTTCAATATATGTAATTAATTTTTGTTTCTGTAGCGGCTCGGGACGGACGCGTCGCGACGTACGCTTGTTCGGTTGGTTCACTCGAATCGCTGTTTCGGTTTCGCTGTTTCGGTTTCTCTGTTTCCCACTCTTATTTATTATTACTATTATTATTTTTATTTTTTCTGTGAGAGTGTGTGTGCGTGTGTGTGTTCGTTCAAGTGTGAGTGTGCCCCTATCTGTGTGTGTGTGCTGTTTCGGTTGTTTCGAAAATGCAAAGAACACGCTCG